TCAACATTAGATTACAATCATTATCTAGCATGTAAGACTAGCAGATACCCTGCAAAATGTAACGAGCAGCGTTTAAGCCAATTGGATTTCTCTTTTTGGCATTCTATTGCTATGAGGTACCCAAAATGCGATATATACATATATATAACTTATAATATCCTATATATATAATAACTAAAAGTTTCAAATTGACTTCGAGCGTCTATAGCTTTATTTTATATTAGAATTTTCAAATCCATATTAATCGACTTGGAAATATATATATCTATCGATTGTAATCTTAAGCAAAGTGTGCGATTTATCGATTTAATGAAAATGAAACTGAAAGTCCCAAATTTGTTCGTAGTTATCGATGAATTATCGATAGCAAATTGGACAGATTCTCTTTGGCTCCTTACGGCCTTCAAACAGAACACAATGTTCGATAGCTCTCTGCTAGCGATCTCTCGACCAAGAACATATATTTCTATGGCAACGCTTCCAACCTTTTTCATGCACTTGATCAAAAATATTCTACAAAATCAATATGAAATCACAAAATGATTTTAATTTGTATTTTCCATTTTCTGTTTTGTTTCTATTTTTATATAACTTTACTAAGGCCTGGCCAAAGATAAGAGTTTTTCTTTTTTATTTATACTTTAGTTTTCTTCTTTTTTTTTGTGTTCTCAAAAAATAGCAACAAAGTAGAGCATAATAAAAATGGAATTGTATCTGCGTGCGAACGCAATTACAAATGCAGCTGCCCATTCGACCCCTCCCCAGCGTCGACGACGTCACCGCTGTCTAAATTCTATATTCTATAATATTGTAGCTAGTAGCTACGTTTCATTTTCATTTCGTTTCGTTTTGTGTCGTTTCATTTCGTTTTCTCTATCTAATCTACTTTTTTGGCTTTGCCCCACCGACAAAACATTCTCAATGCCAAAAAGAACATTGAAAGCAAAAACAAAAACACAAGCAAATAGATCGTACATATATATATTCATACATATATACAAATATATATATATATATATATATACATGTGCAACAAATAAAATGTAACATGACATTGAAACAAGTCAAATGCTCGCAAAACAACAACAACAACAACAATCAGGCAAAATCTGATACCTTTTGTTATTGTTTTTTTTTTTTTTTTTTTTTTTCGTATTGTAACAAATTTTCAAGATTTTTATTTCATGTGTGTTAAAGAGCCAAACACGATTTTCAGTTAATTAAATTTTGAAAAAAAAAAAAAAAAAAAATAACAAATAAATATTAGATATGTAAAATGAAAACTTGTTTAGCAAAAAGTGAATTTGAATCAAGTACAAAAATTGTTGCTTATATTATGACATTTGTAATTATTTAAAAAAAAAATTGCTGTGATTATATAATCATTTTTGTATTATTTGTATTTATTTTATTATGACAGTAGAGCATGAAAACTAGTTGGATCACTCTCTTATTATCACTAAAATAAACCATAACCTGTTTAAACTGCAAAAAAAAAAAAAAAATGAAATGATTTAGATATGTTTATATAAACTCTATTAAATATAAGTACAGTGAAAATTCATTAAAAAGAATTTATAATTATAATTTTTAATTACATATAAATAAATAAATTATAATTATAAATATATTACCTACATACATGTATTTTTAGATTAATATTCATTTCAATTTAAATTCAATATTTATTTCGAATTTGTATTTGCTAGAATTTTTTTATAAAAAGGTAGATTATATGACAAAATCTTGTGGCAATATCTGGGAAAGATAAATAACATTACTTTAATGTAAATAGCTGGAAGATATCAAAATATCTGAGGGAATTTATATTATATGAAAACATATTATGGTGTATTTGTTGCATTATTATGAAAGTAACGTGTAACATTAAAAGCACTTGAGATACATCAACAAATGTATTTTTTTATAGTTTTATTATATATATTTTTTTTTCTACTGAATTTTGAAATTTATTTAATATAAAATAAATAGGAAATTTTTTAAAAATTTTTACTTTGGCCTACAAGTTTTTCTCTTAAGCATTTAGACCTTTATTGATTTAAGCAGCTTGATAGGCCCCGGTAAATTATTTGATATATTAAAATTGTGTAATGAAAGCCCAGCTCGAATATTAAATACCCTGGCAGAGCTATACGAGCTTGATTGTTGAGTCTTTCTTCTCTTCCATATTCACATTTATTTCATATCTTCAAGATATTCTGCACATTTCATGCCTTTACAGGGTATCTCCCTCGCGTGTCAGCACATGCCCGAACAACCGGCTAATTTGTAACTCCTGTGTTTTGTTGTATCCCGCAGATACAAACATACGAATTCTCTATAAAGTTGTCTGCGTAATCTGCCTAGGCACAATTTTTCTTTTCTTTTCTTTTCTTTTTTTTTTTTTGGCCAACAATAATAACTATTTTCTGGTTATCTAGTGGTTGTTGCCTGGTTGTTGTATGTTGCTGTTGTTGTTGTTGTTGCTCGACACTCTCTGCAGTTCATTGTCAATGTCAAAAAGCTGTCGACTGGTTTTTTTTTGTTACTTTTTCTTTGCTATGCTGTTGTTGCTGTTGATTGTCTTGTAATTAACCGACAACTAGCAATTGTTATTGTTGTTGTTGTTGGTCTTGTTGTTTTGCGGTTGTTGTTTTGTGCTGACATTGATGCGGGTTTAATGCACCGCTTTAATGACTTGGCCAGCCGAAAACATATATTTCGCTTCTTTTATTTATTTCTTTTATTTCTTATTTTTATTATTTTTGTTGGCTAATGAAGCAATTAGACGGCGACTTTTGCACCTAACAAAAATTAAGGGGAAAAACAAAAGAAACGAAAAATTAAATAAAAGAAACAGAATTTGTGTTTTACAAGAGTGGTGTGTGCACGACTAGCCAGTTACCCTATATCTATATCTATCCAAGAGCTTATATTAAATTGAAAATATTCAATATTAATATTATTATCTAATTGGTATACACCTGCAGAGTCTCTCTGGGCTCGCCGTGCAGGCAGGGTATACAAAATAAATAAATAAATAAATATATACGTGTCTATATAGAGAGGCAGAAACAACAACAAATGGCCACAAAACTTGTTTTGGCCAAGAGAACAAACACGAACACAAATGAAAGGCAGACAGAGGCGTCTAAGAGCCACACACACACACACACGCACATACAATTCTAGTGTTGCCCAAAAGAAAAATATAAGAAGCAAAACAACAAAAAATTGTGTACGAAATTACGTAATAACGCAAAATAGACGACGACAGTGGCCACATGTCCGTCTCGTGTCGATTTTACTGTACACGTCGCCACACAGTTGGCCAAGACACACAGAGACAGGCAGGCAGGCAGGTAAGAGCAGCAGCAGCAGCAGCAGCGCGAGATGCGACGACAAGTCAAGGTAAAAAGTTACGCGTTTGGCTCTTTAGGCTGGGCCACTTACACGCACGGCTTTATCTCACAGATACGAGTGCAGCTAAGCTGCATCTTGAGATACTTTTGGGCAGCCAGGCAGTCAACGTGTCACAGATCCCCGTGACGGATAAGCCCAAGAACAACAACAACAACAACAACAACTCACTGTGGCCAGTGGGCGCTGCAAGTAGCTCGAGGTTCAAATCTCGAGTCTCGAGTCGCGCCAAGACCCACGCGCAGCCACTCGAGATACTTTGCATTTCATTTATATTTATTTTTTTCTTATATTCTTCTCTCTTCTATTTGTGTGTGTTTTTTTTTTTTTTTTTGGCTTTGTGTCAACCGTTAGTTGGCTTTAGGGCCTACGCAGCTGCAGCTAGGCTGAGTTGCATTTTAGACACGCATCTCTTGCTGCTTCCACGTATGAAAACTTCCAGCTAACTGCGAGAGAGATTTACACAGTCGGAAAAATTCCAAAGTATCTTGAATATTCCTGGTAAATGGGGGGAATGTATCTGAGCTGGGATGCATGAATATATCTGAGTGCAGTTGCATTATTTCAGTGTATAGTTGTATCAAATATTAGAATATCAACTGTATCTGAAAGTATCTTTTAGGGATTAAAGTATCTGGAGTAGATATTTAGATGTATCTTATGGCAGTAGCTGAAAGTATCTAATAATCATATTTGAGATGCATATATAAATGCATCTTGTGACAGTAGGTGGTACACATTAAATGTACCTAAGAACTTTTTATATGTTTTAATAATAACATACACAAATGTATCTGCAGTTATTATTAAAAGTATCTGTAGTTTATCAAGGTATCATATATATTGAAAAGTATCCATTGTTAGTTACTACAACTTCTAGCTAACTGTCTGCCTAGGTATCTGAGATACATCGGAGTATCTTAAATGTTCTTTATAATATATGTAAAAATCTTACAAAGTATTTAAACGATGGGAAAATATTATATACATATTTTACAGACATATATATAACCATAAATATATTCTCACAATATTTACAATAACTAAATGTATATTTCAATACTAGAGAATCGTTGCTTACAATTTTTATAGTTGTTCACAAATTCTGGATTAAAAATAAATAAAATATATAAACCTTTCACGTATATTTAATAATATTTAAATTTTCGCTTTCTTTCTGAATTCTCTTTTATTTTGCTTAAACTTCTATTACAATTTTACCTTAATCTATTTTACCTTATAAGATATTTCTTTTAGTTTCTCAATTTAGTCTAGAATGTTTCTTTCTACTTTTAACGGAGATCTATCTATTTTTACACTGCCAGATTAGAGTCAAGCTCAAAAGGGTCTTCTTTCCCCGCTAATTATTCCAAGCCCGTTCCCTTGGCTGTGGTTTCGCTAGATAGTAGATAGGGACAGTAGAAATCATAATATAGTCTACCGGAGCGCTTTCTAGTTCATTCCAATATGTTCCAATGAAACACGCTTTCCAGCCTCTTCTAATGAATGTCAGTAAAACATTTTCACTTCCATTATCTAACATTTCTATTAGTATTTTATCTTTAGATCCTTTTGCTTACCTTTTTAATGTATCGCGTAGTTTCTGATTATTGTTATTATTATTATTATTGTTGTTGTTATTGGTGTTGGTGCTGCTGTTGCTGCTGCTACTATCCACGGCGATTTGTTGTTGTTGCTGCTGCGTAGTTTCGGCTAATTTTCCAAAACAAATGTTACGGCTGCTGTCGCGTACCATGTTTCGTTTACGATCACGATCTATATAGCATTTCTCGTATGCCGTTGTGGAGGCGCATAATTTTAAATGGGCGCGCTCCTCCCATTGAACAAATATCCCGATTTGTGAGAGAGCATTAACTCTATAGCTTTTGCTTAACGGCGGATTTTAATAGATATCTTCAACTCGTTCACTAGCACATTTTCGTGATACTTTTTTTCTTTTTCAATTTTCTTACTAGATACTGAATTTTTTTTATTTTCAATTAGATTTCTTGCATTTTCTTTGCTTTTTTCTTGCTTTTTCGCACACACAACAGATCGATTAATCGATCGTTAGATTGAATTAACTGCTTATTTAGCATGGGCTGTAAATAGATCAAGATTGAGTGGGGGAAACATATGGTATTATTATTATTAAATATATTAAATTATCAAATATATATTATTTTAATTATTTCTGAAGACACTTTTCGCACTTTTTCAACATTAATTTAAGCACTTTTTATCTTAATTTTTCTTTCTTTTTTTCATTTTATGTGAGCGCAGCAACAAAAGCTTTTGCCAATTTATGTTAATTTAGCACTAAAAATATACAGAAATGTTTTAATTTAATTCAACTAGAGAGCAATTTAAATTTATTGAAATTTCAATAGGGGCGGTCAGCAAGAATATACATATTTGTTCGTATATATATATATATAAATTGTATCTATGAGATACGCAAGATCTTTGCGCTCAATTTAAAAGGCAAGGCAAGGCGCTGGACAGGGGCTGCATATAAAGACTATCGCGTGTAGTCTCTATATACAGTCATGCATATATATATGTATGTATATGTATATTTATGGATATATCCATCTATATAAGTAATAGGGTCTGGGGTACTGCTCTGCAGCGCGCATTTCCTTTCTGTACAAACAGCAACAACAAGCACAGTATAAGGTGGAAAATGCTAGCAGCGACGTCAACGTCGACTGCGACAGCGACAGCGAGTTATTATAATCCAGTCAACGTTACAGTGAAGCAGGCAGCCGGACCGGGTCCAAGAACCACAACGCCATCAATCCACAAACCGGCCAAAAACAACAACAGCAACAAAATAAATAAGGAAAACGAAAAAAAAAAAAAAAGAAATCCAGCCCGAGCCAAGCCAAGCGGGGCGCATGTTAAAATTCCAAAAAGCAGGCAACATGGAAATACAAGAACAACATTCATGCTGCCTTTTGTTGATGGTGTGAAGTTTGGCAACGTCGCCGTCGCCGCAGCAGCAGCAGCTCTCGCTCACACTATCTGACTATGCGAGACGCAAGCGTCCTCCCTCTCTCTCACTCGCTCTATGCTTGTACACGCTGCGTAGCGTATGTGTGTGTGAAGTTTGGCAACGTTGCCATTTGTGTGTGTTTGCTTATAATTGACGTTTGCACTGAACTGCTGCGCTGCTGTCGCTGCCAGCGCTGTCTGACGTGGTTGTTATAGCTACTACTCACACAGGCACACATGCTGACATACACACACACACACACACACACACACACAGCGCAAAGTGGGGTGCCTGTTGTGCGAGCGAGATAGAGCGACAGGTTTTAATGGCCCGTTGTTGCTGCTTCAGTGCGCACACACACGCATACACATAAACGTATTTCTGTAAGTGAGCATGAATGTGAGTGTCTGTTATGTACTTTTATGTACATAAAGAATTTATAGCTGGTACTTTTTGTGCTGCTGCTGCTGTCTCTGCCTCTGCCTGGGCATGGCATGGAAAAACGAGTATCTTCTAAGTTTGTTTTTGCCGTTCATTCGTCATTGTTGTTGTTGTCCGTCGCTGCTGCTGCTGCTGTGTATTTTTAAATGGTTATGTAGTCATGTGTACATACAGTTTGTATGTATGTGTGTGTGAGGGGTGCTTTGGGAACGCGCGTTGTTATTTCACGTTTTTTTTTTTTTCAACCAACGACGATGACGACGTTGTGATATGGCCATGCATAAAATGTAGTTTTGTAGCTCCTATTGTTGTTGTTGTTGCTTTTGTCATTTGCTACGTTTTTGGGGGCCCTTTGTACGACGTTTGGGGCGCAGCAGGAAATCACAACTACACGCAAAATGAAGCCCATAAAAATACTTTATGTTCAAGTGTATGTGTTTGTGTTCGTTCGTGTGTGCTAAACCTACATTATGTGTGTTTGTTTGCATGCGTGCGCTGCCGTCGCTGCTGCTGCCTGTACAAAACGCGCAGACGCTAGCGGGCGTTGAGCGCTCTCCCTTTCTCACTTTGGCACACACAACACCGCTATTGCCGCTGCATTCACACCCATGCAGAGAGAGGCCCCAGTTGGAGAGCTTATGGCGGCGGCCATTGCTGATTGCTGTGGCGACGTCGACGTCGCATCGATCGTGAAAGTTTCTGGCGCTGCCTGCCTGGCTGTACTAAAGCATCGTCTCTGCTGCGCATCAGTCGCTTTGTATGCCTGGTGGGGTGCGGTTCAAAATCGCTTTATTATTTTTGTTGTTGCTAATTCTGCTGCTGCTACAGCTGCTGCTGTTGTTGTTTGCTTTGGGCTAGAGCTTTTTTCCGCCTTTGTCGACGTGTGCAAAAATCTATCTACCAAAGATTTTCGAAAATACATTTATAATCAGAAGGAAAAAAAATCGAAAACAAACCCGAAAAAAACTAAATTCAAATTCTGTTCAATTTGTGCGTCTCTGTCGTATATCTCTCTCCCTCTCTGTCCGTTTCGTTGCTTCGCCTTTGTCTGGCAGCCATTTTGTTTTTTTGTGGCCGTTTGAAAAACGTATTTGGCTTAAATATTACAGCAACTACGACATTTATGGCTAAAAGCTGTGGCCATTTATAGACAACATTTTGCAAAATCCCATTAAAAGAGGCGGCTTTGGCTTTGGCTTCAGCTTCAGTTAGAATTCGAATTTCATTAATATGCCAGCAGCTGCTGTCGCTGCCTCTGCCTCTGCCGCTGCTCTGCCTGCGGCAGAAGAAGAAGCTACCAAACCAGTTTTCTGTTTGTTCTTCTTCTTCGTCTTTGTAGTCAGCGAACTATGCAGTCATTTTTGTAGCGCTGCTACGTGACCACACATACAAGCAGACACACACACGCACGCATTCACACATATACATAGTCGTGCGACGACCGCATTTGCAATGTTGTCCCAGAGGAGGGGGGCAGAACGATGCGGGGCGGCTGCGGATGCCACCACACGCCGCGACGCTTCCAACGCCAACAATACAGAAACTTTTGTAGTTTTTGTCGTACAACGTAGTTTCTAGCAGCTCACACACACCACATACACACGTATATAAACACACATCTATACAGGCGCACGCGCACGCACACGAAACGGGTTAAATAAGTTTTTTTTTCTTGTTGGTTGTTGTTTTACTGCATCCGGCAGCTCGCTCGCACTCATAGTCATAGTTGGATCTCTCGCTCGCACGCGCGCGTTCTCGTTTCGTGCAGCTGAATCGATTTTTGAACGAGCGACAAACGACGTCGAGCGACAACGACGCTACAGCAAAACGCGACACGACAATTTCTCTCCATACCATAGCGCCATCTCGTTTGCACACACACAGCGCATATCTGCGCACTCGCTCTCACTGCTTTATTTGCGTTGTTCGCTGTTGGGGCTCAAATATATACACACATACATATACACATATATATACACTAATACATATGCTGAGGCAGCGCCATGTTACTTTTAGTTAGTTAGTTGTTGTTGTTGTTGCTGTTGCTGCTGCCAACTCGTTGAGGGGGAGCTGTCAGCCTGGATTTTTGCTACAACAATTTAAACGTCGCTGTTGTAGCCGCTGCTGGCGTCACTGCCGCTGTCGCTGTCGCTGCTTCTGCCGCTGCCTCGTTATTTTTCAGCCCGTTGCACGTCATCCGTTCGCCTTATGTGCTTTGAATTTCTGATGAAATTCTTTGCTTTCGAGTTAATTGCTGTTGTTGCTGCTACAACAACGATGACGACGACGTCGGCAGCGACAGCGACCGCAGCGCCCCCAGGCCCCAAAACTGGAGCTGCCTCTGCCTCTGTCCCAATCGTTGTGCCATTTTTCTTTGTGCTGCGCAGCTTTGTAGATCGGCTCCACAGAAACCAACGAATCGAGTCCTGGGCGTATGCACAAACACTCTTACACACACACACAAACACATACATGCTTATATACAATTATATGTATATTATACATATATATATATAACATTCTGTATAATTTTAGTTGTGCTCTTTGTTTAATTAGAAAAATTAGCATAAGCTTTGTGTGGCTGACTTTAAATTTAGTTTCAACTCTTTTTATTACACTTTAAAACAGACAATTTGCTCTTTTTTAAACACATTGCAACACTTTCCTTTTGGCTTTGCCAATTTAACATTTTCATTTTATTGTATTGACACTATTTTTCATATTTTATAAATTTTTGATTCCAGTTGCTGATTTATTTCCTTACCAATTGCATTGAGAGCTGCAAAGAATAAGATAATATGCCGTATTAGTGTTATTTTTGAATTTTAAGTACAATCAGCATTGCATTGCCTCCAGTACGACAGCTTTCCAGTCTTCCATACTTACACCATTTCCAGTTGGCGATCGTCGCTTATTTTCCAATCGTTTTGGACTGTATTTGAAATTTTAACATTTTCTTTTCTCTTTTCAAATTTCAAAGACCTCCAAACGATCCCGTTTTAACGTTCGCTGCGAGCCGGGAGTCAAAATATTTTCAATAATTTACGTGAATTTTCATTTATCGACGATTTTCACTTGAAATTTGGGCAATTTGTTGAATCCGATTCAACAACAAAAAACCCAACACAAATGCATTTTTTTTTTTTGTATTTAATTTCTCCCAAATTTGCGCAAAAAACAATAAAAAATTTGCTGCTCAGCTTTTTTTTCTTCTTTTTCGTATTAGAATTATTTTTGTATTTATCTTTTGTATTTCGATTGCGTTTGAAAATACTTTTTTGCTTTTGTCGGCGGCTGGTGCTGCTTTTACGTACTGTTTTTGTTTGTGTTTGATTGTATTTTTATTTGTATTTACATTTGTTGTTGTATTTGTATTTGCACTCGCATTCGCATTTGCATTTGTATTTGTGTAATTAATGCGTTTTCCCAAATAAACACAATCGCCTACACGCATACACATGCATCAACATACGCACACGCACACACAATCGCGCACACACACTCACACATAAGCGCGCGTACGCTCCGAAACCGCACACACTCTCATATATGCATTTATACAATTTGCATAAATAGAAGAGCCAAAGAGCCGTTTGCATGGAATCGCGACGTTTTGTATTTGCGACAAGGGCGGGGGCAGCGGAGGGTGCGATTTACTTTGATCAATATTATAATGCGAATTAATTCAATTTAATATTTAATTTCGGCGTGTGTTCGGCGTTTTGAATATTATCAATTTCTGGCTTGTAATTTATTTCAGTTTAATTACATATTTGCCGCGCGCGCAGCGACAACGAACCGACCACGACAAAAATTCAACTGAAACTGAAAGAATTAGCGGGTTGCCAGATTTGAATGGTGAGGGCTGGCATTTACTGCCATGTGGCAACGCCAACGACTTGAGAGGGGCAGAAATGGTGTATTTTTGAATGGAGCTGCGCTGGCAGCACAGCACGAGTGCTGTGCGGCTATGGCTTATTGCATTTGTGACGTCAGACGGTGAAAAAGTTGATATGTTAATACACAAATAATAGAAGTAGTCAATGGCGTTAAAGTGTATTGTACCTAAATGCAAATGTAAATATAAGCAAGAAAATGTTGAAGCATATTATTTTATATGCAGTTTGTTTTAAGGCCTTAGTCACTAACCAGTGCCTTAGTACATGTTGGTACAAAACAAGAGCCGTTGCCAGTGCTGCCAAGTTGCTTTATAGATATTCATTTGTCGCGTTGACAGTAAATACAATAATAATATAAACAATCTATTGTGTATTCGAATTTCGGAATATTTCGCGCCATTTACGTTTGTGTATTCCAACACTAGTCAGCGCTGCCAATCTATTTTACAGCTGCTTGATTGTCGGGTTGGCAGTAAACAAAAAACATTGACGATTATTAAAAATATTTATGCGGTGGCATTCGATTCAATGAGTAATTTAAAGCAGGATCTCGATGAGTATTTACTGCTGCAGAGCGACCAAAAGAAGAACTTCAATGTCAAGCTGCCACAGATTAAAGTGCCCGGGCTGGCGCAAATCTTTTCGCGCACAAGCGAACAGCCCGAGGCAAACAGTTGGCTAAAGGACACACAGGACTCTTGCTGCCCCAAGCTGGTAAATGACGATGAATTGACTAATTCACTGGCCATACATAAATGCCATTTCGCTTCACAGTCCCGCCTGCAGCGCATTGTTGGCTTCGTCGCTTGCCTGGGCATGGGTTGCCTCTGCATGACGCTCTCCACGCTCTATATTCCAGTCTTGATGCTCAAGCCGAAGTTTGCGCTGCTCTTCACTCTGGGCAGTCTCTTCTTCATCTTGAGCTTCTGCTTCCTCATCGGCTTTCAGGCATTCTTCAAGCAAATGTTCTCGCGCCCACGCCTCGTCACCTCCATCTCCTACAGCGCGTGCCTTACCTCAACGCTTTACTTTGCGCTGGTGGCCAAGAGCACCGCCTTCACGGTTCTCTTCGCCGTCGGCCAGATCATCACGCTGCTCTTCATGCTGCTGGGCATGGTGCCGGGCGGTGCGACGGGCCTCAAGTTCTTTGGTCAGCTCTTCAAGAGCAGCGTCTCCAGCTCGTCCAGTGCACTGCCCGTTTGAGCTCGTACCAAGAAATCAAAAACAATTTTACAAATTATACAATACAAATTATTTATTAATCGTTATGACAATGCAGAAAAATAAAACTTATTTGTGATAGAAGCCGAGGATTGCTTAAGACTGTAAGTTGTTCAGATGAGATCTAAGAATTAGCTGGAAGTAGTTCAAGCTAGCTGAGGTATAGCAAGAGTCTAGTAGCTAGTCTTAGATGGGTGCATGAAGAACTAGTTCTTAAAACTAGAGATGGGGCCTTTGATCCTGCCTGCTTAAAAATAGATCAGAAGTTGAAGCTTGCCTCGATCAATGAAGCAAGGAATACAGGAAGAGATTTTTTAAAGAGCTAACCGATCAAATCTCACTTGAGTTATAATCTAGTTGTTAATCTTGAAGCTTCTCTACGATCGAATATCGCTTAAGTATGAATCATTCAGCTAGTCTCAAATCCCAGCTCAATCCTCAGAACAAAACATCAGCATCTCCTTCTCAATCTCACTGATTATGAAATCCTCTACCGTAGCTAATCCTCAATCTCGCCCAGATACAAGGTCTTATCGCTTGAGCCGGACAATATGAGAGGTTCCTTCGGACTGAAGTCCACATCGTTCACGCTGCCATTGTGTCCAGGCAGCTTGTACAGTATTCTCCGCGTATTCACGTCCCACACGTAGACATGTCGATCCGCTGAGCCGGCGCTGATCTTATCGCCACCCGGCGCCCAGGCGCAGCGTAGCAGATTCTTCTCAAAGTTATGCTGATGTCCCTGGAAGACCTTGACGCAACGCTCGCCGGGCGCATAGGCGCGCACATCCCACACGCGCAGCGTGTTATCCATGGCATTGGTCAGGACAAAGTCGCCCTCCGGGGACAGGGCAACCGCTGTGATTGTGTCCGTGTGGCCACGCAGATGGTGCAGCACCTGCTGCTTGCGTATGTCCCAGATCTTCAGCTCGTTGTCGATGCCGCCGCTGATGACCTGCTCGCTGGTGTCGCCAAAGCAGACGGCTGTCACTTGGTAAGGTGATTCCAGGACGTGCACCGGCTGCTTCTTGCGTGCGTCCCAAATGCGTATGGTGCGATCGTCGCTGCCGGAGCACAACAGCTGCTGGCCACGCCTCGAGCCCTGCACACTGTTCACAAAGTTCGTATGGCCCTTCAGACGTCGCACTCTCTGACCCGTAACAATGTCCCAAATGGCCAGCGTTTTGTCTGTGGAGCAGGTGAATATATGCGAGCCATCCGGCGTAAAATGCGCCTCCATGACGGCACCACTGTGACCCGACATGGCCATTATGTTCTCACAGTCGCCATACACCTGCCAGATATCTAGAAGTGGAATATAGTTTAGTCTAACTGAAATATATAAATATATGATGATGCTCATTTACACAGCTGCCTGTCGAAGCCGGAGGAGAGCAGCATTTCGCCTTCCGGATGAAATTCTGTCGTAAATATTTCGCCTTCATGGCCCTCCAGCTGCATGATGGGCGCCTGCAGATTGGAGGTGCGTCGCACGCCCTGAAATTGCGTTGGATTAGAAGAAAGCGAAGAAACAATGCGAAAGAAGAGTTGGGATTGACATCAGGAAGATTGTTTAGAGCGGAAGCAGAGCCAAGGAAAGGCGACAGCCGACAGTCGTCCATCTTTATATAGGTTTCACTGGGAGTATCCATTCACAGCTCATATTCAAGGCGTTCTTCATTTTTCCAGAGTTGTGTTCTTCCACTACCACCTTTCCATTTTATTCATTTCTCTAACAATCTCCGCAAGCCTCTAAAAATCTTCCACACCAAAACACGCTGCTTCCTCTTCTTCTTCAAGAGCTTCATTCAGCTTACCGACTCCAGCAGCGCTTTATCCCGATTTGTATATGCCACAATGTCATTTTTGCTGCGCTTAGGCTCTTGCGCCAGCATCACACTATTATTGGGTCGTTTTGTGGCCATTTTATTTAAGAAAATTTACTTAAACGTAAGCGAGCGACTCTTCAGCCGCAAAAACAAATGCCAGGGCTGCCAACTCGCTGAAAAGTAACAATTAGCAGTGCTGCAAAATATAGTTTAAGCAACACTGGCAAAATACCAAAACAACAAAACTAAACCAATTTTATCTTTTTACATATTAGCATAGTTTTCAATTTTCTTTTATTTAAAACATATTTCAGCTACATATAAGCAATGATTCCTTTAATAAGCATCAACACGTGGTGGTTCGGCAAACAGTTCCTCCCGCTTGCGCTCACCGGCCAGCCACTGTTTGTAGCGCTCCGTGCGCATAGCCTGAAGGAAAACATAAAAGGCTTAAATAAATATTCAACTTTCCATTTGGAATATTGCAAGCTTACATGGAAGCGCAGCAGCTGCTTCTGCATGCCCACGCACTCCTGGAAGTCGGCAATCAGATCGGCGCATTGCTTTTTGCCGCGTTCCATGCCGTAGGCTTCCAGGCATTCCATCATTTTCATTTCGAATTTGCCGCATTTGTCGTAGGTCTGATGGTTGATCAGGCAACCGGTCAAATCGGTGAGTGGCAGACGCAGGAAGGGCGACAGCGACATCTCGGCAGCTCCTAAATATATAATGAATATTTATATTATTCGCACATTCCAATTGGAGTATTATTTTGCCACTCTGTGACGTAACAATAACAATGCTTTTCACTTGCTTATAGAAGCAATTTATTTCACTTGCAGTTGCTTGAGCGATGCTTTAGGTGTTATTACGTCGCATAAAGTAATTATAACAGATAAAACGCACCTTAAATCGCAATCAAAAGAAAAATAGAAATATTTGACAATAGACAGCCGATAATTTGGGGCAGCACAACTGGTCACACTTAAAAACCAGCTGTCGATCCGCTACACTGCAGTATTTTATGATAGCTAAACACAAATAGCGCCAAAATATATCGAGTCTAGTATTTTAAACAGTGTTCACAAACGATGCTTTGCTAGCACGTTTTGTTTACATCGCAAAGTTGAAGTTATAATTGTTTAAATTGAATTTGAATTGAATTAAGTATTAAAGGAAAATGAAGAATCAGGAGCTTGTTGATTATTTGGCAAGCTGTGGCGTCTGTCGCGTCTGTCAGTTGCGCTATTTGAAAGCACGCGGCAACGAATATCGCGACATGCAGCAGACCTTTCAGCGCGTGAGAAAAAACATTTCAAGAAATTCAAGCGGCTTAAAAAGTACAGAAGATTTTAATTCTAGCTGGATGTTAAAGTAGATGACAGTGATTTGAAGCCGTCAGAGGATGAGCCGAATGAGCAGCCACCAAAAAAGCCCCGCTTAACCATTTGCTCAACTTGTTTGGGTTTGTTCTCGGAGGAGTTTCAAAGTCAGTTAATTGAGGGCATTTCCAAATCGGATTTCGGCAAATATGATAGCGCGGGAATTGTCCTGGCTATAACGCTGCCGCTGACACTACAGCTGCGCCAGCTGTCCATGTGGTTCGCCCTACAGCGGAAATTTGGCAAGAGCTCCTTCAATGATAACTCTGCCCCGGATGTGCCCATCAAGGAGGCCGTCAAACTGATTCTGCATCCCATTGTGTGCTCGAAGCTGGGCAGGGAATACGATGCAAACGGGCTGATGATCAACATTGATGTACGGCACAGCGTTGAATCCGAGGAGGTGGACCAGCTGACCGAGCTGAATCGAGTCGCATTTCCGGTCAAGAAACGCACCGAGATCTCGCGAGGATTGCTGGAGAAACAATACCAACCGGCACGCATTAAGGCTGATATCTTCGAGAAATATCTACCCATACCACCGGCTGCTGTCGAGGAACCCCTGCAGCTGCAGTCCATCGACCTAATGGGCCCCATTGTCTGTGTCGCTGGCAGATATCGAAAATTGAGTCGGGAGCTTTCGCATACGCCGTGGGTGCTGCAGGGCAAACGGATTATGGAGGAGAGCATTGAGGAGATCATTGCGAAACAGGTGGCGCCACATTTCACTGATACGGTGTGCAAGGTTACTTTCATGTCCAGTGGGCGAGAGGATGTGGACGTGCGCTGCTTGGGCAAAGGGCGGCCATTTGTCTTGGAAATAATGGATGCGAAGCGAAGCAGTTTGAGTCGGCAGCAAGCCCGTCAAATGGAGGTGGCTGTGGATATGTCCGGCAAGGTGTCCATACATAATCTGCAAGTGGTGCCGCGCGAGCAATTGACGCACATCAAGACGGGCGAGGAGCAAAAGCGGAAGTATTATCGTGCTCTCTGCGTGCTTGACGAGCCGGTGACAGTGGACATTTTGAAGAAGCTACAAATCTCGGAGAGTTTTATCATACAACAAAAGACGCCCATTCGAGTCCTACATCGCAGGCCGCTCCACACTCGACCTCGTTCCATATATAGCGTCAAGGCGTGTGTGAGCCGGGAGAATCGGCGTTTGCTCATCATCGATGTGGTCAGCCAGGCGGGCACATACATCAAGGAGCTGGTTCATGGCGAATTCGGACGTACAACGCCCTCCATATCCTCCATCATAGGCAAACCCATTGATATATTAGCTTTAGATGTTGTTGGCATTGATTTGGATTGGCCAGCAGATGTAAATAATGCGGAAATTGAGGTTGAATAAAAGGCGGTTTATTTACTGTAGCTTTTTTAGCTTTTTACAACACTGATAGCAATGGGCTCAATGTTTAAAATGGTGCGGATCTGAAAAAATGTGTAAAATGTGACGTCACAGCTGTTGCATTCTATCTGTAACCATGCATGTTACATGACTAGTGATTTTATATTCGGTTTAAATAACCTTTAAAATTATGTTACGAACTTGAGAAGAATTTAAGTCGAAAAGATGTATAGAATTTTATATTGTCTGAATTCACACTTATTTTAGCCAAAAAAAGGACAATAAAATAAAACAAAATCTATATATAGCGCAAAATGATGAAATAAATAAAATATTTTTCATCATTGAATGTTATTTACAAGCAAAAGGCGAGTATATCCAAGTAATGTGACGTCACAATATTTAGCCCGATTCAAGAATGAGGATGCATAAGTTTATAAACAAATGTAAATGAATACACAATTTTTGTTTATTACATTTTTTTAATAGCTAAACAGTCAGAATTTCAAATATTATTTTTTTATCTTACAATATTTTTAATTCACTTGCAGCACCCATGCAACGCTAACAGCTGTGACAGTGGAGCACATCTCAGCGCATTGTTTTATCTGACCTATAAGAGCGCATTTCAACAAGTTGGCAGTTCCGCTCTCTTATCAGCTGAGAGCGCTTGCAAGTCGCATACGGATTTGTTTAGTTATTTTAACTCTTGCAGTAAAGTTTAATAAAACTACACAGACAAGAACGACGAGCTGCTGTCTGTGCCTCAGGCAACTGATAACTGTACCTAGGCGAATGCTTTAATGTTAAAAACAGTTCAGAAAATACAATTGTGTACAGCTGGCCGCGTTCTATGCGCATTCTCTAGTAACAAAAAAAAAAAGAAAAAAAGTTCAGCGCCGTAAATTTGATAAATTATGAATTGAAACGTGCGCAAAAAGTGAAAGTGCGTGTTGTAGCTGTTGCAGTCATTGCATTAGATCCTTTGCTATCGCACAGTGACTGCAAAAATGTACGCACAATTGGTGTGTGTTTTTTTTTTTATTATTTGATTGCCTTTTTCCTTTGAGCACGTCTCTTGACTTGTCCGCGCGCGCGGTTTTGGGTGTGTGAGAGTACGCCCCGCCGACCTTCAGGCAACCTTCACTGGCTAATGCCTGCGCTGCTGCGACGGCTGCCTGTGTGCAACATGTTATGAACCAAAGACAAACTACAGTAGCGCCTCTTCACCTCACGTGTGTAATCAATAGATTTCCGCAGCAGCAGCAGCAGCAGCCGAAATAAACAAGCTCAATGCACATACAAAAAAAAAAAAAAAGCAAAAAACAGCCCGCCAAACGCTCATTTACTCATCCCATTCATCCCACTCACTCTGACTGCTCTCAATGCGCTGCCTCCCTCTCGCACACTGGCCCGGCTGCTAAGTAACAACAATCAACAAATTCACCCAGCAAACAAATTTTCCAGCACATTTCGTATGCTGCAACCCAACAAACGCTTAACGCGCGCTCTTCTCTGCGCGCAGCTAACATTTTTCTGTTGATGTTTTTTTTCTTCGCATTTTTCAACTTGGTCGCGATTTGTGTGTTTTCAGTTGAGCTTGAAACGCTTAGCGAAAAAGTTTAGCTCGCGCGATAAATTCTGAATGGCAAAAAAGTGATTTCAATTTCAAACGTGTTTGTTTTCTTAATAGTCATTGCACCCTAGGCCTTCCTCCTTCCATTCGCTCGCAGTGATAAACCAATTGATAAGAAAGACGTATGCAAAAAAAAAAAAAAAAAAAAAAAAGAAAAAGATTAAAACAAGAAACTAATTGATAACTGGCAATTTCGTTGTTGTTGTCTTACTATTTTTTCATTCGTAATTCTTATACTATATATTTAAAATGTTTTTTTTTTCGCACTTAATTAACCCAGTATTTAAATGCAAGCTGTGCTTACGTCATTGAACGAGGCTCGAAACAGTTTTTCAAAGCTTTAAATTTTAAAATATCTTAAAATATATATATAAGTATATGCTTATTGTATATATATGTATATTTACTGCAGACTTTTAATCTCAGCAATATTTTTTAAATTAAATTTTCAAGAATATTTAATTAAGTCTCATTCAGTGGGCACGATTTGTGTATGTGAATGACCTATAAACGTGCCGTCGTAAATATCAAACAAAATACCACAAACAACAATAAACAACAGCAACAACGAAAGACAGAAAATATATAAACTTTTGATCATGAATGACCGTGAAATGAGCTGCAATACGGGCGGCCAATTTATGGATCGCGGACGCATGAACCAGAATGGAGTTGTCCAGCCCCTATTAACTGGTGAGCTACAACAACACTTACTCAAATTTTAACTGTTTATCTCCTTTTAATATACATATAATGTAAACAGAACAAATTTGATTATATTTATAAAGTACTTGCTTTGAAATAGAAACATTTTAATAAACGAAACATATCCCAATTAAAAACAAAATGTATTCGTATTTTTTAAAATATTTAATATTTAATGCGAAATTATTTTTAAGATCTACATATTATATGAAGGCATACAGACATTGATATATACGTATGCAGCTATTGGGATACTGATATTGATAGAATTTTTATAAGTGTTTATATGTTCATGAAAGTAAAAGTGCTGTAGTAAAAAAAAATAGGTCAACTTTTTGTTTAGAATAAAAATAAAAAAAAATGCAATAAAATCCCATTACTTTTGCTTTTTTACGTATGAATAACAAAATACATTCTATTTAAACAGGCTTTCTTTCATAATTTCAGAAAAAGCTGTTATGTATTTTAGTTTAAAAATTGATTAAAATAGATCAAACATTCTTATTGAAATTATAATTAAATTTTATTCTATGTTTAGGAATTTCGCAATTCCACTATCTATTGTGAAATTTTATTAGCTCTGATTCGCATTGTCAATTGTATAATTTGCTCTTTTTATTCTTATCTCTTTATCATAAAAACATAACAACAACCATAAAAACAAACAACATATCTTTTAATATACAAAATTGCAAGGATCTAGCCTGTGTAGCCTTTGAGATCTTACTTAAGGATCTTACACTCTTGTCGTTTCGATCAAGAATATCTCTTCCTTCTGCTTATTATACATATTTTCATAAAAAATTCAGCTGAATTTCTATCTTCCATAGGGCTACCCTTGCCTTTAGAGTATACAAATATTTAATAGCTGTACTTACATTGACATGTACCGATATCGATATATACATATATATTTTTATATGAATACTCAGACAAATATAAAGAGGTATACGTGCATAGACTTCAAGTTAAATAGATTGATATATATGTAGATGTTGAGATTGGGTGAGATATATATATATATATATATATATTGATTGATAGATTAAATATTTACATACATATATATGTTTAATTTTTGTGTTGTAATTTTGTTTTCTTATACAACTCTTTTATTTAGTTTTGTTTTTAATTGTTTATTTTTGTAGATTATTTGTAATAGTTCAATTCATTCAATAAGCTATTTAAAGTCGTATCAACTCCCGTTTGGCATTTACATTTTTAGCTTTATCTATTTCCGTCTATATTATATAGAGATAGGAAGATTGTCATGATCTCTGTATCTTGTTGTATTTGCATTTCTGTCTGTGTAATTATGCACAAATTTTGAACTTTGAGCGCATCTTATCGCACGGGTTCATTTAACGATTTACGCCGTTGGTTAACCACCGAGTCAATAAATAGTCTCATATCATTTGAACTAGTCTAAAATGGAGTCTATCGCTTGTCGGCTTATCGGCATTATCTGCATGTACTTTATTACTTTTACTTCATCGCAGATTTATATCAAATAACAATGGCCTATGCCTACTGGAAATCGGACAAAACGGATGATCAAGCCGTGTTTGATCTATTCTTTCGCAATAATCCATTCCATGGAGAGTTTACCATATTCGCGGGGCTGGAGGAGTGTCTCAAGTTTTTGGATAGCTTTCATTATTCGCAGAGCGGTAAGTGTGCTAAACTTATTATAATGTAATAGGTTTTGAATAAATTTTCTTTGCTTACAGATATTGAATACCTGCGTCAAACATTGCCCGAGGGCATTGAGAACGAATTCTTCGAGTACTTGGGCAACCTGACAGCTCATGATGTTACGCTCTATGCTATAGATGAGGGCACGGTGGCTTTTCCTCGGTGAGTTGAGCTATAAGCTAGGCTTAAGAGAAGACTTCAACTGGGACTTTAAGTAGGGATTCAAAGACTATAGGATAGAAGAGTTAACATGACTGTTTAAAGATTATATATGTTGCATGTTGAAGAATAGAAAACTAAGGATGACTGTAAAAAAAATTGAATATGCATGTTAAAAATTTAAGAAACTCATATTCAAATGGTTTCAATAAATAATTAAATGTTGTACATTTATATAACTAATTTGACTCGTCTGGCGAAATTTTAAAATGGTTTTAACATAGTTGTTAAATGATTAACATGCATGTAAAATTTCAGCAGTTGTCTTGACTATACATCATTGTTGATATGGTAGACTTATATATATGTAATTAAAGCATTTTTAATTTTTAAAATTTATAAGCAAACGTTAGATGAGTTTACAGTGGTCACACAGTTTATATAGCACTAGGGTCTTACCAAATAATTAGTTAGAAAACGATTTTATTTTTTATTTAAAAATATTTTTATTAAACAAGTCATAAAAAGATATATGAAAATAAAAAAGAAAATTGTTAAAGCAATTAACAGTGATGATAAAAATATACCATATAACTCATGTATTTACCGTTATATAAACATGATGTCTACGTCAATATTAGCTATGTCTAGAACATTCACCCACATATTCTCATATTTGATCTGTCGTTTTTACAGCGTGCCGATCATAAAGCTAGAAGGACCCTTGATAATCGTGCAGCTGCTGGAGACAACGCTGCTCACGCTCGTCAACTATGCCAGGTGAGCGGGAACGTGTGATAAGTGGAATGGGAGCATATTAATAAAGCG